GGCCATTGTGGGGACTTGTGCCTCTGACTGTTGTTTTAACCACATTTCCTTTGGGTTGGAGGTGGCTCTGTCTTTGGCACGGTCACTAGTTCAGGTGATACTGTTCGTGTCTCACCTGTGCATGATGTCTGCTGGCCCATCCAGCCCCCACCTGGCAGCTCACCCCAAAGCCTTCACTCCTCACCGTGGCCGAATACATCTGCATCCCAGCTGTCCCCACCCATGGCAGGAGTGACCCAGGACCACACTGTGAATTGGCTGCATCCTGCCCCTGTGGACCTGGAGCATGTCCAAGTACAGGACCTTCTGGAGGCCCCCCTTCTCCCACTCTGCAGCCCTTTCCCAGGCTGCTGGACCTCCCTCGTCTCTGCCTTCATAGCCCCCAGGCCCTCCGTCTGGTCTTGGGGTGTCCAGCACCTCACCCACTGAGTGTGCTCCCATCCACTTGTCATCCTGAAGTTCTCGTGTCATTTCCGTGGCCTCCCTGTTCTTTTGCTCAGAGCTCAGCTTGGCCTCTAACCCAGTGCTTGCTTGGCAGGGATGCCCCCCTACGCCTTGCCGGCACTGCTCCCCAGGTCTTGGGGTGTGCCTGTCTGCCCTTTCCATGGGAGCAGCTGTCCAGCATGGGCCCACCTGGCTCCTAATTTCGCCTCCCCTCCCAGTGTCTGTGCAGGTTGGCTGTGGTGAGTACTCTGGCCCTCCATTGGTAACACATCTTCCCCGGCTCCTGAGTGTCACAGCAGAAGCAGCACAGACACCCACTTCTGCATTGTCATTGTGTGGGAGCAGGCAGCTTAGAGCTCAGCCAGGGAGTGCCAGCCACCCCCCCGAGGGTGAGGGGACTCAGGCTCAGGTGGGTGCCAGTTCCCCCTCCAGAGGCTACCAGCTCCTGTCCCACACTGATCGCTTGGCCTGAAGCACCTCTTACTGGCCCCCCTTAGGTTCTGTGCAGTGCCCTGAGTCTTGGATCCACTGGCAATGCTTTTCCTTGGTTATTAAAGAGTAAGAATGTTAAGCTGGGCATAACGGCAGATGCCTGTGATCCCAGTGGCTCAGAAGGCTGAGGCAGGAGGATTGCAAGTTCTAGGCCAGCTTCTGCAATGTCACAAGATCCTGTCTCAAAATAAAAAGGACTGGAGATGTAATTCAATGGTAGAGCACCCTGGTTTCTAGCCCCAGTACTGCAAAAAGAAAAGAAAAGCAAACATTAAATGCCTTAGGACCTCACCATCCACAAGGTGAGCACGATGAGCCCTCACAGAGTTGAAAGGAGACCCTTCCTGGGACAGTGCCATAGGAATCACCAAGATGCAGTCCCTGGGTCTAGTGGTTTTGTGTTGACAGCTGTGGAGGAGCTGCATGATACGAGTGATTATGACGTGAGTGATTGCACTTGGAGGCTTAGTACAAAGAAGCCACATTCTCCACCAGAGTCCATGGCAGCCAGCACCTCCCCACTGGTGTGGAGAGAAGGAACAGGGAGGGGTGCAATAGTTCTGGGCCTAGACCTAAGTGGGGACAGGAAGTGTGGATTCTTAAAGGTGAGGGCATGTAGTTGAAATGAGTTCCATTGGGCCTCCCTTCTCCTGCAGAGGCACTGGCTCTCTGCTGCCCAGGGAAGCCTGTGCTGGTCAAAAGCTAGCAGCAGAACACTCCAGCACTTGGCTCTTTGGCCCTGGGCAGCATGCTGGTGGTTTATTTTCCCTGGGGATGCATCTTCTGCCACACTGAAGGGGAGAACACTGACTGCCTGGGTACTTAGCACAGCTGCTGAGATTTGACAAGATCCAAGCAAAGAAAACAAGCAAATGGGGCTGCAGTGACCTCCCCTTCCTGGTGTGTCCAAAAGCTACAGCCACCAGGCAGCTTCTGCATCCCTTGGGATGAATGGGCCCACCTTGCCAAGACCGTTCTGACCTGGGGAGGGTAAGGGCAGAGGGTCCCGACCCTGGGCCATGCTCAGCAGGGCCTGCTGTGTCCATGGAGAAGGCTGCACACAGCTCCTTGCCAGTGGAGACAGCTGTCTCCCGTCTCTCTGCCTCCTAGCACTCAGGTGTGTCTCTCTGTTCTGGCATTGTGTATCAATCACTTTGATTGGTGTCAGTCACACTGCATGTTAGAATTCTGCCCCTGACGTCGCAGAATGAGGTGGCAGGCTCCAGGCACTAGGGAACAAGTCCCCCAGAAGATGTGGCCTACACAGTGATTGTCACCAAACCAGCTGTGCCCTGGCCCATGGTAGCTGGGAGGTCTCAGCAAGGCCCTGGGTCCAGAGGGTGGCTGTGTGGGGTGTGCTCTGCTGCCCTGGGGCTTGGGGGTTTCTCTCACCTACCAGGGGGAGATGGGGTTAGCACCTGTGGACTTAAAGATGCTTCCTCAGAATGTGGCATCTCTGCAGCAGCTCACGGGCCTGTTTATCAGGGGCCTCCCACACACCCCTTGGGCCTAAGATTCACAGGACACGTGTCACGGCCATGTGAAGCACAAGTGGATTTAGCGCACTGTTAGCGTGGGTATACAGAGCAAGATCTGGTGGGCGGGACTTGAAGTGGGTCCTTAGGCTGAGGCCTCCTGCTGTGTTTTCTGGTGGAGTGTGCAGCTCCAATGAGGGACTCAGGGCTCCCCCATTTCCCTCTAGATAGGGTGGGGGACCAGGGCTCACTGCCTACAAGCAGCTGCCTGCCATGGTTTCTCTCACCTGCATCAGACCTGCTCATTCTAGGACCTTCCTAGGTGGCACTGCAGCCATGTCGCCCTGCAGGAAGCATGGTGGGCCCAGCAGGCCTTGAGTCTGTCAGGAGGACTCAAGTGCTGTGTGATGCCCTGGTGCCGACTCCCTGCACAGAGCCCTAGAGTGCACCGGGCACCCTGTGCCCAGGTGGGGCAGTGCTCAGGAAGTGGAGCTGCCACTGGGCCCTTTGGTGATAGCCCCCAGATGCACAGAGCTGGGTGAGGGCCAAGAGTGTTGAGGCTCGTGGCCCAGGAGGCCTGAGCCCTGACTGCTGCCTTCAATGCCACGTGCCTGTTCTGACACTGCCCTGGAGGGGTGTCCATGCCTCAGTGACCATTGCCCCTGGACAGCTGGGCCCTTCCACCTGCGGGCAGGGCCTGTCAGAACCATCCAGTGTGGCCCATCCCTGTGTTGCCTGCCCCTTCTGTATCAGGTCCAGGTCTTCTGAGGAGCTAGCCATCAAAACACAGACCAGTGGACACCTGGGTGCTGCGGCTCACTAGGTTGCTGTGCTCTCCTGGCTGGTGGAAGCAGGTGGACACCTGGGTGCTGCGGCCCACTAGGTTGCTACACTCTTCTGGCTGGTGGAAGTGGGTGACCCTCACGAGGGCCTGGCAGCAGGAGTGCCCTTGGAGGGTGTGGTGCAGCTCTTTTTTCCCCTATTCCAATTGGTTACACGTGATAGCAATTGCATTTCGACTCGTTGTTCATGATGGAGCACAGCCTTTCATTTCTTTGGTTGTACATGATGTGGAGTCACTGTTTGTGGATCTTGCCCAAACCTAGGGTGATGACGTCCTTCTCCTTTCACATCTTTCCCATCCCCACACCCCCTTCCTCTTCCTCCTTCCCCTCTGCCAATCCAGAGTTCCTGTAGTGCAGGCTCTTGCTGTCTCAGTTTTGGATCCAGAGTTTTGTGAAAGCAGCAGCCCCACACACACTATTTCCGTCACTTGCGTCTCATGTCAGCATGGTACACACTCATGGGAACTGATGTCCACTTGATTAACGTCTCCCTGGGTTTCCTGGCCTGGGCCCCAGGGGGTACGTAGTCTCTGGGGCTCCTCTCAGACTTCCCTGTTTCTTTCTTTTTTTAATATTTATTTTTTAGTTTTTGGTGGACACAATATCTTTATTATTATTTTTTTTTATGTGGTGCTGAGGATCGAACCCAACGCCCCGCGCATGCCAGGCGAGTGCACTACCGCTTGAGCCACATCCCCAGCCCCAGACTTCCCTGTTTCTGACACCGGGGTGGTTTGGGGAGCCCCTCCATTGGGACTGGCCTATGGTTCCCATGGCTGGACAGGAGCTGGACTTGGGAGGGAGAGTCAGGGAGGCACCTGCGTGTACCCAGCAGGACTTTCTCCTGTCCTGTGCCCAGGGCAGGAAGGCCATGCAGCCCACAGCAAGACTCTGCTTGGGACTCTGTCTCTGGTCCCCCTTGATTTGCTGAGCAACTTGTGTCAGTGCAGACTTGTGAATGTCTGTCTATAGCTATGATTTAATATTAATTAGGTCCCATGTTATCAGCTTTTAATCTTAAAGTAATCTCTACACACAGTAGCACTCCAGGGTGGATGAGGGGTGCTTCCACACCTGCCAGTACCTATGTGGCCTTCCCTGTCCCTCCTGGTCCTCTGCAGCCACACGTGCACATGTGTGTAAACATGGCGACTCTTGCTGTGAACCACCCTCAAAGCAAATGGCCCTGTCCCCAGCACCCTGCGGGTGGTGTCTCAGGGGGAGCCCCCAGTAGCATTGACTTGGCAGGCCACTTCAGCAAATCCAGGAGCACTTGGGCCACTTGGGCTGTCATCGTCCTGCCCCTGGGGGCTGACAGGTGGCAGTGTGGTAGTGGCCCACCCGTCCCCAGTGTGGGTCCTGCTGGTGCCTTGCTCCACCTGAGGGCAGACTCCTCCTGTGGAGTCTTCTGGCGAGCCTCCGTCAGGGAAGGGTGCCCCCAGCCGCGACCTCCCACGCCCACTTGAGCAGGAAGCCTTCCACGGACCCCCTTGGCAGCACAGCCTGTGATGGGCTCAGACTCGTGCTCTCAAGGCGTCCTCATGGGGTGCGGGGAGAAGGGTGGTTGAGGGTACATGCCCACCCAGCTCCAGGCCCTGGTCCTGCTCTCAGAGCTCCAAGTCTCCTTTCCACAGAGGCACGTCTGCCATTTGGGTGATGTCTCGGGTTCTCATTTGACCTGGGCACAAAGCTTGGTTGGCGTTGGCCCTACTGAGCCCTTTGTGTGTTTTGCTTCCCCAACCAGGCTGGGAGTCGCAGCTGCTGGAAACAGGGTTCCTGGGAATCTTCCTGTGCCCCTGGTGGACTCTGTCCCGACTGCCCCGTCACACCCCCACGCCCTGGACAGTGCTGTGGGCCTTCCGTTGGCTCATCTTCAGGATCATGCTTGGAGCTGTGAGTAGGACTTTTGTTGGAATATTTCAGGAATGATGTGCCCAAGACATGTCTGGTAGCTCTGCTGGACCTCCTGCAGACCCTCCAGCTGCCCTCTGGCCCTGCACAGGACGCTTTCTGTGGGAAACAGTAAGGGCCTGGGGCCTGTTCTCCAGAAGGTGCAGGAGGAGCCAGTGATTGGTTTTTGGTGTCCTCCCACAGGAGTGTCAGGCTTTCCAAGGACAGGAGTGACCTGCCACCGTAACGAGGTCCTCCGCAGTCCAGCACCTGGGAGCTGCTGGCTCCACCCTACCTGTCTGTCTGGTCTCCTTGGGACTCAGTGTAGCTGACCTCGAGGCATCTCAGACTCCATGGGTGTGTGCAGACTTCCTTCCTGTAGGGCAGTGCGCATCTCGTCTGTCATGTAGCACGAGTGTGACATCTTGTGTGTCCTTTGCCTGGAGCTGCTGCCTGTGCCCTGCTGTGCCTTTCATAGCTCACTGGAGGCTGGAGGCCAGAAGCTGAGGATAGAGGCTCTGCCACTCTTAATTCCATAGTCACCCTGAGAGTTCCAGAAGCGGGAGGGAGGAGGTTCCCGTGGCTCCTGCCTGTGCCACAGAGGGCAGCCGAAGTTTGCTCACCTTCTCTGCTGATCCTGGTTAGTGAGCTCTTCGTGTTCCCGCTAGAATAATCACAGAAAATTGTTTTTCCACCTTGGAAACTCGGCTCTGCTTCTGCTTGCCCTAAGTCCTGTGGAGATCTCCCCCTGGCGTAGGAGGCATGGCACGAAGGACAAGTCTTTTGTGCCACCTGCTGGCAGGCTGCTCCCATGGGGGGGGCGTGGCTCTCCACCAGAGCCTCCTTCAGTCTAGAATGTTCCACACTGTTCCCTGCCTGGCCTGACTTTGACTCTTGGGCTGGTCTGGTAGCCTCATGGCTCTCCCTGCAGTGCATCATGGGAGGTGGCCCTGCCCACCCTGTTCTGGGCAGCTGCCGCACATTCCCTCTGAGCAGGCATTGGTGCTGGCTCAGGAGGATACCCTGTTGCGATACAGCATTTGTGAGGAGCCCTCTGGGCCATGGGGGCGTGAACTTGCAGGACCTCCTCCCAGCTCCTTGAGGTGGTAACCAGCTCCTGGCCTGACCAGCTTTGCAGACAGCTCCTCTGTGAGGGAGCAGCAGGCCAATTCTCAGGTGAGACAGGCTCCCAGGACACAAACGGCCACTCCTTTACCACGAGCTGCAGGTCGCTTATGATGGAGCTCGCTTATGATGGAGCTCGCTGTATGGCCTCAGTCAGGAGACCCCCATGGAGAGGTCCCCTGGGCCTTCTGGGCAAGGATGCTGGGGTTTGTTGTTTTTAAAATTTTTTAGTTGTAAATGGACATAACTTTATTTTTTCCTACGAGGTGCTGAGGATCGAGCCCAGTGCCTCACACACGCTGGGCAAGTACTCTACCACTGAGCCCCCACCTCAGCTCAAGGGTGCTATTTTAATCAAGTTTTTCGTCACTGTGACCAAAAGACCCAACAAGAACAATTAGCGGAGGAAAAGTTTATTTGGCTCACAGTTTCAGAGGTCTCAGGCCATAGACAGCCAACTCCATAGCTCTGGGCCCAAGGCGAGGCAGAACCTCTTGGCAGAAGACTATGGTGGAAAAAATCAGCTCAGAACATGGTAGACAGGAAGCAGGGACAGAATATAAACCCAAAGTCATGCCCCCAGTGACCCACCTCCTCCTGCCACACCCCACCTGCCTGCACTCCCACCCAGGTAATCCCTCAGTGGATTAATGCACTGTCAGGTCACGGCTCTCTTAAGCGAGTCATCTCACCTCCAAGCCTTCTCACACAGCCTCCCACGTGAGCCTGTGGGGACATCTCGCATTTAAACCAGAGCAGATGTGCAGGTGGACATCCCCAGGCTGGCTGCCGTGCCTTTCCCTTCCCCCACTCTAGTGCTCCTGTGCAGGGTGTCACTGCAGGTCCAGCAGCACCCGGGTGATGGACATGCTGACCTGTGCCTTGTATGAATGGCAGTCACCAGGAGCACCTGAGAGGCTGTCTCTGGGCAGTGGGGACCCCAGCAGCCCCCCAGATCCTACTGTTTTCATATGTGGATGTGGAAGCCACCTGATTCCCAGTGCCCACTGCACTTCCCTGCCTGATATGTCATCCAGTGTGTCAACCCTCTGCAGCAGGGTACCTCTGCATCTCTGTCCTCCTGGACGGGGGCTTCCAGGAGGGCCCTGGAGGCAGCAGGGCATAGCCCGCCACATCCACTGCCATGGACAGCCAGCAGCCCCCTAGCTGCCCACACTGTGCTTTGGTCTCTCAGGCTTTGTGTCCTGCCCGAGTCAGGTGTATGTGGGACCATGGCAGCCAGGCGAGAGGGCAGGCAGGTATGTGGGGCCCTCGGAGAGCAGGGGACTGCAGGTACAGGTGGTTGGGGTGCCCGTGACGGGCAGCTCAGCAGTGGCCCTGCCTCCAGCCCCACAGGCTGCCGCTGTCTCCCAGCCGCTCTCCAGTGGAGGAGGAGGATGGAGTACTTCCTGAGGCACTCAGCTGTCCCTGGAGACCATGCCATTGTCTGGCGGTGGGTAGGAGCGCAGATGCCCCCGATCGTCAGTAAGCACAGAAGGAGAAACCTTTCAGACTGTCGTGGAGCTTCTTGGGCATGGCGGTGCAAGCCGGGGCCTGGGAGCAGGAGCCCAGCCCCTGGAGGAGCAGTGGGGCTGTTTGTGCGTGGCTCTGGTGCCAAGAGTTGAGCAGCCCCCCGGGAGCCTGACAGAGCGTGCAGTCATTAGTACATTCTCAGGAGCCATTTATGGCACTTTGATTGACTGTTAGTGCCAGCTGGATGGAAATTGCCAGGTGACTAAAAGGTATAATCACTGATATCGTCTTAGGTTGGATATTATTAACCTGCAGTGGGAAGCAGAGCGTCAACTTGATGACAGTGACAGCAGCCATGGGCCCTATGTGGGGTGGGCAGGCGTGGGTCCTGTGTGTGGGGTGGGCAGGCGTAGTCCTGTGTGAGGTAGGCAGGCATGAGTCCTGTGTGAGGTGGGCAGGCGTGGGCCCTGTGTGTGGGGTGGACAGGCGTGGTCCTGCGTGGG